AACTTGCGGAAAAGATGGTATACCGCAAAAATGAGGTGCAAAAATTTGTACACCATATCCGGATTTCGAAAATTAATGATTCTTCAGTGATGTTAGGAATCGAAACGGTATTTCGAAGGCCATATAATTTACCTCAATTTAGGATAGACTCTTGAATTTTGAAAGAGTCGAAATAGGATGAACGGATCATGTAAACCCGAAGGCAAATATAATACAAGCCCAAACGAAAAAATATAAACAAGTCGAAATTGAAAACAACGTTCAAACCTACGATTGCGTTGGATAAAAACCGTAATTTGTATACGTGTGCATGCAAAACAAATTTCTTGGTAGAGGGGTCTAAATACAGCACAAACAACATTTTCCAAAAGACCAAAAAAGTAAAAAAGTATATTTTAACAAAACGCATTTGACTAGCAGGTCGAACAACTGATGTTCTTAAACCCTGCTGACTGCCTTTGGCGAATGCCAAATAAACGGATCACCAGATGTAACAAAATGGATCTTATAATAATTTTTTACCAGATAGAAAACAATAAACTTGCGGAAAAGATGGAATACCGCAAAAATGAGGTGCAAAAATTTGTACACCATATCCGGATTTCGACAATTAATGTCTCTTCAGCGATGTTAGGAATCCAAACGGTATTTGGAAGGCCATATAATTTACCTCAATTTAGGATAGACTCTTGAATTTTGAAAGAGTCGAAATAGGATGAACGGATCATGTAAACCCGAAGGCAAATATAATACAAGCCCAAACGAAAAAATATAAACAAGTCTAAATTGAAAACAACGTTCAAACCTACGATTGCGTTAGTTAAAAACCGCAATTTTTATACGTGTGCATGCAAAACAAATTTCTTGGTAGAGGGGTCTAAATACAGCACAAACAACATTTTCCAAAAGACCAAAAAAGTAAAAAAGTATATTTTAACAAAACGCATTTGACTAGCAGGTCGAACAACTGATGTTCTTAAACCCTGCTGACTGCCATTGGCGATTGCCAAATAAACGGATCACCAGATGTAACAAAATGGATCTTATAATAATTTATTACCAGATAGAAAACAATAAACTTGCGGAAAAGATGGTATACCGCAGAAATGAGGTGCAAAAATTTGTACACCATATCCGGATTTCGACAATTAATGTCTCTTCAGCGATGTTAGGAATCCAAACGGTATTTGGAAAGCCATATAATTTACCTCAATTTAAGATAGACTCTTGAATTTGGAAAGAGTCGAAACAGGATGAACGGATCATATAAATCCGAAGGCAAATATAATACAAGCCCAAACGAAAAAATATAAACAAGTCTAAATTGAAAACAACGTTCAAACCTACGATTGCGTTAGTTAAAAACCGCAATTTTTATACGTGTGCATGCAAAACAAATTTCTTGGTAGAGGGGTCTAAATACAGCACAAACAACATTTTCCAAAAGACCAAAAAGCGAAAAAGTATATTTTAACAAAACGCATTTGACTAGCAGGTCGAACAACTGATCTTCTTAAACCCTGCTGACTGCCATTGGCGATTGCCAAATAAACGGATCACCAGATGTAACAAAATGGATCTTATAATAATTTATTACCAAACAGAAAACAATAAACTTGCGGAAAAGATGGTATACCGCAAAAATGAGGTGCAAAAATTTGTGCACCATATCCAGATTTCGACAATTAATGTCTCTTAAGTGATGTTAGGAATCGAAACGGTATTTGGAAGGCCATATAATTTACCTCAATTTAGGATAGACTCTTGAATTTTTAAAAAGTCGAAATATGATGAACGGATCATATAAACCCGAAGGCAAATATAATACAAGCCCAAACGAAAAAAAATAAACAAGTCTAAATTGAAAACAACGTTCAAACCTACGATTGCGTTGGATAAAAACCGCAATTTTTATACGTGTGCATGCAAAACAAATTTCTTGGTAGAGGGGTCTAAATACAGCACAAACAACATTTTCCAAAAGACCAAAAAAAGTGAAAGAAAAAGTATATTTTAACAAAACGCATTTGACTAGCAGGTCGAACAACTGATCTTCTTAAACCCTGCTGACTGCCTTTGGCGATTGCCAAATAAACGGATCACCAGATGTAACAAAATGGATCTTATAATAATTTATAACCAAACAGAAAACAATAAACTCGCGGAAAAGATGGTATACCGCAAAAATGAGGTGCAAAAATTTGTACACCATATTCGGATTTCGACAATTAATGTCTCTTCAGTGATGTTAGGAATCGAAACGGTATTTGGAAGGCCATATAATTTACCTCAATTTAGGATAGACTCTTGAATTTTGACAGAATCGAAATAAAATGAACGGATCATTTAAACCCGAATGCAAATATAGTACAAGCCCAAACGAAAAACATATAAACAAGTCTAAATTGAAAACAACGTTCAAACCTACGATTGCGTTGGATAAATACCGCAATTTTTATACGTGTGCATGCAAAACAAATTTCTTGGTAGAGGGGTCTAAATACAGCACAAACAACATTTTCCAAAAGACCAAAAAAGTGAAAAAGTATATTTTAACAAAACGCATTTGACTAGCAGGTCGAACAACTGATGTTCTTAAACCCTGCTGACTGCCTTTGGCGAATGCCAAATAAACGGATCACCAGATGTAACAAAATGGATCTTATAATAATTTTTTACCAGATAGAAAACAATAAACTTGCGGAAAAGATGGAATACCGCAAAAATGAGGTGCAAAAATTTGTACACCATATCCGGATATCGACAATTAATGTCTCTTCAGCGATGTTAGGAATCCAAACGGTATTTGGAAGGCCATATAATTTACCTCAATTTAGGATAGACTCTTGAATTTTGAAAGAGTCGAAACAGGATGAACGGATCATATAAATCCGAAGGCAAATATAATACAAGCCCAAACGAAAAAATATAAACAAGTCTAAATTGAAAACAACGTTCAAACCTCCGATTGCGTTGGAAAAAAACCGTAATTTTTATACATGTGCATGCAAAACAAATTTCTTGGTAGAGGGGTCTAAATACAGCACAAACAACATTTTCCAAAAGACCAAAAAGCGAAAAAGTATATTTTAACAAAACGCATTTGACCAGCAGGTCGAACAACTGATGTTCTTAAACCCTGCTGACTGCCATTGGCGATTGCCAAATAAACGGATCACCAGATGTAACAAAATGGATCTTATAATAATTTATTACCAAACAGGAAACAATAAACTTGCGAAAAAGATGGTATACCGCAAAAATGAGGTGCAAAAATTTGTGCACCATATCCGGATTTCGACAATTAATGTCTCTTCAGTGATGTTAGGAATCGAAACGGTATTTGGAAGGTCATATAATTTACCTCAATTTAGGATAGACTCTTGAATTTTGACAGAGTCGAAATAGAATGAACGGATCATGTAAACCCGAATGCAAATATAGTACAAGCCCAAACGAAAAACATATAAACAAGTCTAAATTGAAAACAACGTTCAAACCTACGATTGCGTTGGATAAAAACCGCAATTTTTATACGTGTGCATGCAAAACAAATTTCTTGGTAGAGGGGTCTAAATACAGCACAAACAACATTTTCCAAAAGACCAAAAAAGTGAAAGAAAAAGTATATTTTAACAAAACGCATTTAACTAGCAGGTCGAACAACTGATCTTCTTAAACCCTGCTGACTGCCTTTGGCGATTGCCAAATAAACGGATCACCAGATGTAACAAAATGGATCTTATAATAATTTATAATCAAACAGAAAACAATAAACTTGCGGAAAAGATGGTATACCGCAAAAATGAGGTGCAAAAATTTGTACACCATATTCGGATTTCGACAATTAATGTCTCTTCAGTGATGTTAGGAATCGAAACGGTATTTGGAAGGCCATATAATTTACCTCAATTTAGGATAGACTCTTGAATTTTGAAAGAGTCGAAACAGGATGAACGGATCATATAAATCCGAAGGCAAATATAATACAAGCCCAAACGAAAAAATATAAACAAGTCTAAATTGAAAACAACGTTCAAACCTACGATTGCGTTGGATAAATACCGCAATTTTTATACGTGTGCATGCAAAACAAATTTCTTGGTAGAGGGGTCTAAATACAGCACAAACAACATTTTCCAAAAGACCAAAAAGTAAAAAAGTATATTTTAACAAAACGCATTTGACTAGCAGGTCGAACAACTGATGTTCTTAAACCCTGCTGACTGCCATTGGCGATTGCAAAATAAACGGATCACCAGATGTAACAATTTATAAACACTGAGACATTATTTTATATGATAAGTGTCTGTGACAATTTGGAAGGGGGGATAGGCAGGGTTGATTGAGTGGATTCTAGTAAATTGCATCATGCTTAGGACTAAAACTTAGAACATTCCGAAGAGTAGTGTATGGCATTAGTTATATATATAGTACAGGTTCCAGGTCCGGTCAGGGAGGAGGCAAAGAATTACATCAACTCTTATATCATTAGGTTGATTATCTAGGCACTTTATAAATATTCTAACGCCAGGTATTTCTTAATCATATGAAATCCAATGGACAAGGTATAAATTGCAGTTATCACTTCACATAGGCAGACATATATCTATAAAAGTGCCTATATATAAAGTAATTATAAAAACTTTTATATTATCTTTCAAAGTCAAATATTTTAGTTTTGAAGTTATTTTTAATCAATATATTAACCGCATTTACTAATTTATTAACATTTGTAGTTGAACTTTGTTTTTCGAAATACTAGTTATCTTACTGATTTCAAGTGCTTTATATGTTCACCTTTTTTCTGCCTATGATCGCAAAAAATACAAACTATGTCCCTTTAAAAAATTGCCCTTGTACAGTAAATGTTTAAAAGCTATATTGAAATTAAAAGTTTGTGTGTTTATAATGCATTTCCAGTCATTGTCACTCAATTAAAAATTCGTCCATGATTTTTCATATCTAATTTAGATTTACAGGTAAAATATTAAACATACCTTTCTAACTTCTTTCCTTAAACGTTATTTCATTCAATGTATTTTGTATTTTCTACAGCTCCATAATATAGTTAACAAACGACTCCTACATTTGATCAAGGTAAGATAACACTGTCTTGTCTGTTTAGTTTAATCAGTTTACCGTAGGTAGGTGTCGTGTGTACGTCAATTAGTAATATATAGTTTTCTTATTTGTAATTCGGAGTACTTAATAAAAGCTGCAGGATTCGAGACAAGAATAATTGTATATTTTTCGATTTCATATAAGTATTCTACAATGTGGAAAAGCATTTCATCCTATACAAACTATAGCTAATTCATTTTAGTATATTATGTAACTATCCTAAAATTCATAACATTTGGTTCTTATACAACACCAATATAAAGCAGGTAAAAGACAATTAAAAAACTAAATTTCCCAAAATCATATAAAGTACACAAGAAAACAAATATATGTAGTCTTGTACTATATAAGTAATACATATTGAAATACGAGTATAACCAACATTTTTCTATTAGCCTTTAACTTACATATTGTATTTGTACAGTGGATGAATTATACATTGTACCACTTGGTTAATATATGCGGCTAAAGTGTCCTATCTATTTCCGAGGGTACAACGCCCAGTATACAGTGCTGCGGTATTGGCATGGTCGTAATGTATACATTCGTTTGTAATTTCAATCAATAATGTTATGAATTGCGTTTAAACATACGTTTAAACATGTTCAACATCACGAGTTATTGTATTTAAGACTGGTTTGATTGTTTTGTGTAAGCCCGTTGAAGTTTGTTTTTTTCAAACGTTTTATAAGTATGACATTGGACACGTTTTGTCACAATAATACATTATGACGACTTGGTCGCACACAAATATCCTGTATGCTTTTGTTTATTAAAAATCATTATTAACTTCTTCATCTGTTAAATAACACACTATAGTTAACACTTACATCTTATAGTTGATGTGTTTCCGTCGGTTTTAGTTTGTAGTCCGGGTTTGTCTACTCTTAATCGATTTATGACTTTTGAACAGAGGTATACTACTGTTGCCTTTCTTTACACCATTGAATACCGTTGACAACGATATACAAGCAAAGGTTACATTGTGTGTGTTAAGGTTAGCAAAACACATCGCATTATATTATACCGATGATCAAATATAGTTGGTTAATCGTTTTTAACGTAAAACAATATTTATTTCAAGTTGAATTAAAACAGTAATTTGATTTGATGGAGAAACAAAATATGATCGAGGGTAACAGGTAATAATATTAATTTTCAAATATCTTCTTAGTAATTCATCTGACCCTTTGTAATGGCAATAAAGCTATATATTGTTGTCATATAGATCGAGGATTTCAGTTAGTTTTACTAATAAGCTATTTCCATGTCCCACGTTTGGGACCTCGTCAGTACTTGACCTATTTAATATCTATCAGCTATCTATGTTGTTGAGTTGCTGTCTCACATAAACTCTTTTCTATAAGAACATACAAGGAATTAAACAACGTAGATCGAGTGCATCAATGGTTTCTACATAAATTATTAATGTCGGCGTATTTATTCTTTTGTCCATTAACCATGCGCGTTGTTTATTTTTATCTAAGTTGGCTTTTTGAGACCGAGCCTTGTTTCAATTTTTGTGTCTTTTCAATAGTCAACTATAAAGTCATATTAGTCATCGATTTGTGGGTAAAAATATTAGATCCTTTGTTATGAGGATGGTACGTCAATGGACGTCAAATTGAGAAACAGACGTCGATTAGAGAACGGACGTCGATCTGTCTATATTTGCAATGATATAAATTAAAATACAAACATACTTAACATATTAGAACATAGTGTTGAGCTAACATTTTTCGTTTCAGGACTACCAGTGTAAGCACTGTAAACATCTTCTTGAATTTGTTTTTAAAAGACCTAAAATATATTAGTTTGCATGAACACAATGCGTGATATATCTTTTAAAAATAGTTTAACCTTCTTTATCAGGATGTTTTTTTTCAATTCGTACTAACGTACTTTTTGTTTTTATCCGTTACCTTTATCTGTTAGTTTGAAATGAACAATAGAAAGGAGATGTCTTAAAACTTAAATTTAAAACTTCCTTACAGGTGCACGTTTTCTCATATCCTTTTTTATCATAATAATAAAAGATCCTTGGGACGTATTTTCTTGTTTAATCAGACATGAATACATTCGATAATGTATTCACACAAGGTTCTTTAAATGACATAATATTTGTCAGCAAATAACATAAAATCTTTCAAAAGAGGTCTCGCATTTCTGAAGAAGTATCACCTTTATTGCTCAGTGCAATTCATCATGTTAAGAAGTATGTTACCTTGCTCTATAAAAAAAGGAATGGTTGGCAATTTTATTAAGTTTAAATATTTTTTTAATACCTGAATGCTATTCATCCATGTACAAATTTATAAAGTCCATTCAAAACTGAAAATCTACTAATAGTGTTCGATAAATGAAATTATGATCCGAAGAATTGTCATTATTGTATACTCATCATGCTCATATAACAAAATGGATGGGATGATACAAAATGTACTTTGGATTCATTTAATTTCGTTGATACCAACTTTCATGGACTCACGAAAAATTGTATCTTCGTGGGAATTGGATTTCGTGGTTTTGCCATAGTTTGCATACAAGCATATAGAAAATTTGTACTTCGCTGAACATTTTTATTCGTGGTTTATTACAACCCACGAAATCCACGAAAATTGGTATCCAACGAATAATGATAATCCACAGTGTTACGTGCAGACATGAAAAAAAGACTAGAACATTTTTTTCATGCGTAAAATACAGTTAGGACTATAAGGATTTTATTTTATATTGTATGCACTACTACTAGCATTGTATCCTACTGATTTATTATCAGTATTCGAGTTTAGCATTCATCAAGTAGCGACAACTTTTAGTTTAGAATCAGTCAAGTGATAGATAATTTGTTCACTTGAATTCACGATATTTAATAACTATGCTAAATGTTAGAATACAACTCCTTAAGGCAAATATTTCATAGACGGATTTGTTTTTCATGTGAAATGTCCTCCTCTTTTTGTACTTTATATATTTGAAATTCTTTCTTCTCAGGTTTATCCGATGAATATTATTCAAGAAACAAGTGTTGTACGCAAGTAAATTCTGTTACACGTATTTTTCATATAATATTGCCTGTTTTTTTTTCTATATCCAAATTATCTACACTTATTGATATCGAATACTGCACACTTGTTATCTTCCAATATTCATCGGGTAGCGGTTTCCTTTTTGCCTGGACGTCGACAAGTTTCAAGTTTCAAGTATTTCTCAAGACTCTTAACCAGGATATGTAAACAAATACAATTGGACATAAATTAACACAATATAACAAAATAGGTTGATTCAATGAATAAGTTAACATTTATATTTGATCGGCATTTCTAAATATATGGAAGACGGACATATTATGTACTAAAGAATTGATAAGGCGTAGTGGATTCGTAAACGATAATCCTCTACTTCTTATTAATTCTCTAGCTTAACCCATTTCTTTTCAAACGACTGTCTGTTTTACGTTTTGACAATAATTCAACGGAATTTCATAAAGATAATTTCGTATCTTGTCTTTTTTATTCTTCAATAGTTGGAAATGATTATATCCACACTGCTCACATCTACAAATGTATATGTAGACATTCGACAAGTTAACATAAGTTTAATATAACTTAAATGGGGTGTTAGCTCCCCTTTTGCTCACCAAATGTCATATTGATTAATAAATATTTCATTTAATGTTTGATATTTACATATTATTTAAATTGAATTGATTTTGGTATTTATGATTTTTTGAAAAAGACATAACTTAGTATACAGAATTTATTTATCTTGTTTTGATAAGTTTTGAAATTTTAATTACCAAAATTTAGAACCTTTGAAATTTATATATATAGTATTTAGCAAAATTTATAATGTTGTCTGAGGGCTGGCTACCAAATAGCCGTACGATTCCAAATCTAATAGGATAGCCATTTCATGTTTCTACATTTCATGTTACATTCCAAAATAAAGAAAAACTAGGTGTAGGCTGTCCAAATATTCACATGGGAGATAACTCTAGAATACTGGATGTTGTGATTTGAGCCAACTATCTCGTGAAATTCGTGTAGTAAAGTTGAAAAATAATTTGCAAGTGAAGAAAGACATATCGTAATAAGGTATTGATGGTAAAAAGGGAAATTCCAAATCCATATTGTACTGAAAAATAATGAAAACTGCAGTAACATGACATTTTATAAGAAAAAAACCCAAAATTTGACGGAAACTGTCCTTTTCGGCAAATTTACAAAATTGCAAAAAAATACACTTGAAAGTGATGTATAGACATAAGGTACATTTGAACTAAAAAAAGAGTGCTTTGATTGCTGTTGGCTAATTTTTTTACTGGCATTGTTTTCCCGATATTTTCCGACAATTTTTCTTGTGTTAAACGTAAAAATGAACAGAATACCAACCCATTTTGAATAAATTTATAGAAATGGTTGTTACTTTTACATTTCATTATGAAATCACTCCATTAAGACAAATACAATTGGGTGTATGTGTGTAGGTTTTAGAAAGGGGGGGGAGGGTTACATTATACAACTTGATAAAGTTAACAATTGTTTGATGTTTTAATGGGGGGTCAATAAGCATAGCAATTTAATGCCCTTTTGTTCTGTTTGGAGGGAATAAGTTTCTCTGTTAACATTTTTTTGTATAACTTTTTTATCAAGAGGGAGATAACTAATAACTATATGAAGTTTAAAAAAAACTCATAAAAACAGTATGAATGCATGGGGGGGGGGGGGGGGGGGGGGGTCTCATTGAGGTCAGGTCTAATCCTAAATCCTGCTTTGTGCTTTGTCTCATTCCTATTTCACGCTTATACAATATGCAACTTTTTTTCATATTTTTTTGTTATTTTATTCAGTATTCATGCCTAAAGTAATTTGACTTTCGCGTGTAATGGTCACAAAAATCAGCCAATCCTGCATCTCACTAAGACCCCAATGACACCCACCGCAAGCAATAAAAAATATTTTTATCTTAATAC